TTAATATTTTTAAAATAATATTTTAAAGTTTTGATGAAGGTTTAAATTTTGAAGTATTTATAAGGAGGCATTTAAAATAATTAAGATGATCTATCTTGATTTTTAAAAATGATGAAGAAAATTATTTTAAAATCACATTATTTTAAAAAAATTCTCATAGAAAAAGATTAATATTAATATGAATTAGATTTTTTTTTTCTTTTCATGTGATGTTTTATTAAAACGGGAAACTGGTTTGCAGCCGGTCCTGCAACTTTTTAGGCGGAATGACTTATTTAAATGACACCGTTTCAAGTTATAGCACTTATTCTCATCCCCAAGGTTACCTTTCTCGCCATTCAACCCACCCTTGTTTCCAAAAACTTAGAAACCCCAAATAATTCTATCTCTGAATTCTTCATCTTCAATAACCACATCACTGCCCAACCCAATGATGGAAACTCATTAAGTGGAGATTGCTTTGGTTTTTTCTATGAGCCTCCATGCTTTCTTCCACTCATCAGTTTTAGCTGCTGCTGTTGCTGCTACTTATGTAGCTGCTGCTTCATCAATAACCACTTCACCTTTTATTTTTTGATTTTCCTCTTTTTCTCTTCATTCAGAACCCCTATTTTATCTTTGATTTCCTTCACTCAATTCCACTCTTTTTCAGTTTCCCCTTCAAATCTCCGCTTGGAATCATAGAGGAAGAACGACCAACAAACAAAATGTTGTGGAATAGGTTCACCCCGTCAAAAGTAAGCTTTCTTGGCTGGCACTTTTTGTTGGATCTTTTGTCGATAAAAGATAATCCTATGAGCAGAGGTATTTCCGTGGGCCTTTCGGTTTTTGCCTTTTCTCATCTGGGTATTTGAGTTTGTTTGAATTTCGAATTGGGTATTTGAAAAGATTAGTATTTGTTTCTGGGTTTTTAATAAGAGAAAGAAAGAAATGAAGCTTGTTTCTGGGATTTTTGTTTCCAATCAATTGTATACTTTTTGCTTGTGTCAAGGAAATACCTCCTGCTCATATTAAGGGTTTGTGAATTTTTGGAAAGAGGGAAAAGTTGAAGACGAGAAAAACAAATTTGGGGCGAAGGCTTAACCTGAAACGATGTCGTTTATATAAGTCATTCCGCCTAAAAATTTACAGGACCGGCTGCAAACCAGTTTCCCGTTATTAAAATGATATAAATTTAAAGTAGTTTTTCTTTTAATTCTTAAAAAAAATAAAATACATAAACATTAATTTCTATTTATAATTTTTTGCAGTTTGGATTATACAATTATAACAATATTTAAGGTTAAAATTTAATTTTAGTCCCTAAATTAAATAAATTTCTGTTTTAGTTCATAAAGTTTAAATTTGTACGCTTTTTTTTTTCTCAAAATATGGATTTATTTAGTTTAACAAAACAACCAATTCAGGGGTCATACGAAAGTTTATGGACCAAAATTGGGGTCTAAGCTAATGGCAATTTTATAATTAAATAAGTTTTAAGGTTAATATTCACAATAAATTTTGTCTACATCGTTCATTTTTACAATGTGAAATTTTTGGGTTATTAACTTAAAGAAAAAAAAATCCTTATGTCATTTATGTCAACTATAGTGTCATGTAAACTAAAATTTAAGGAAAAGACCAAAAGAATTGAAATTTTTTATTTTAAGATTTAAAACAAAGATTTATTTAATTT